ATCACACCCAGTTACTTTTTGTGTATTTCCTGATTTGCACAAACCTTTTCTCTTTTTGTGAGCCAGGAAAGTATTAAGTGCCAGTTCTATTCCAAAGTGTATCCCTTATTCTTTTTCTTTCCTCTCTTCACCTTGAAACTTTCACTACCACAGCCCCTAAACCTGTCTATAATCAGTGAAATGTCTCATTCTCTTAATAAGTCTATATAGAGCTGATGTGAAAAGATTCCCTGCTTCCCCCCCTTTTTTTTTTCTTGTCTGTCCTTTTACACCCCAGAACCTGGCCACAGTTCAGGAATATAGAGGAAGAGACAGAATACTTTTTTTTTTTTAACTTTTAGGGGTTTAATTAACAAGACACAGAAAAATTTGCCAGCACATATCTTGTTTCTTTCAAATTCTGATCCTACTTCAATTCCCTGAATATATTTTCCATTTTTCTCTCTTTCTTCTGCAGTCAGCCAGGGATGGAGGGAGAGAAAGAGAAAAAGACTCTCACAGTTATGTTACTTATTGTTTTCCTGTCTACATGCTTAACTCCCTTCAACCTGGATAACTGGCAAGCCAACATTTCTTTGTGTTTCTACTTCTTCTTTACCTTGTTGGCTAACTCTCTGGTTATGAGAACAGTGGCTTTCCACTTGTTTCCATCTAACTGGAATTCCTCCAGCAAGCTCCTATTCTCAGCCTCTAAGTCTAGGAACTTGGTAATAGCTTTTTTTCCACGCTGTGGGCTGTCTCACATCTGCTACTAACTATCTCCCTCCTTTCCTCTACCTGATGGAACATATTCCCACCAGTAGGGACTCCAGTCTTTTCAGCATTTTTAGGGCTTCCCCATACTCACATGGTGGTCCACATATGCAGGGCCACCCCACCCCCATATGGAGGTCATCTAGGGATTCCCCCCCACTGCCTTTCCCATACTACTTTGGCATTCCTTTAGTATCCTGCAAACTATGCCAATTGTAATTCCCCTGGTTGGGGAACCTGTACCTCCCCCATAACTGTGGGATGAGTTTGATACAAAAGGAAGAGGCCAAGAGGCTCCAAATTGATTATGGGATTTTAATCAACCATTATAAATACTTATAAACAGGGACAATCTGGGACAGCTGCCAGACAATTCAATGGATACCCACAAAGACCCCCCAAAATCCCCATGGTAACTACAGAAATCAGACAAAGGGAGGAGGAGCTATAGAGTACTTTGCTACTGACTGATGGATATTTTAGGTTTCTGCTTAATAATGAGCTCATTTCTGAGTTTGGGCATTAAGCCAATGTTATTAAGTAAAATGGCCAAACAAAGATTTGTGTATTGATCATGTATGGGTCAATGTGCACATGTTATTGTTATTGCCTGGTCACATACAGGTCATGGTATTTGTGTTATGACTTTCGTTGGTCACAGTATCTAAGTTACAACTCAGTGTCTTAGTTATGATTCAGTATCTAAGTTATGATTTTTTTAACAGGTCATCACCTTCCACCTTTCACAGAGTTCAAGATAATGGCTTTTCACTTCTTATTGTGTATTATGGTTTTTTTCCCAATCAGGACCCTACAGCCTTAAAATCAGGAAGATTTGTGTTCAGGTTTTGCTTCTGATATCTACTGATTCTGCCATTTAAGCTCTCAGTGTTCTGGTCACCTTTCTAAGACTAAAAACTTCGGAATAGCTGCTAATCTGCATTAGTGGAGAAACTTTCCTTTTAGGAAATTCCCTATACGAGTGAAATCAGAGATCTGTATTTTAAAAAATAGTATGCTAAAGAAACAAAATAGTACAACGTTGATTAATTAGTTACAAGATTATTTCACTTCCCATTATTCTGCTATGGTTTGTAGAGAATAGGAACTATGAAGTGTGACTTATTTACCCTAGTTAGCTTTACCTAGCCATGACTCCATGATTCTTTAATTTAGACTACTGAATCTTGGGTTTCATCTATATAAAATTTAGAGATTAATCATTTTGACTACTCAATTAGGTCAAGCTAGATAGTTTCCCTGATTTTATTGTTGAATGGGGGAAGTTAGGTGACACAGTGGTTAGAGCATTGAGTAGAAAGTCAGGAAGACTTGAGTTCAAATCTGATCTCAGTTATTAGCTGTGTGACTTGGGGTAAATCACTTAACCCTGTTTGCCCTAGTTACCTTATCTGTAAAATGAGGATAATAATAGCACCTACCTCCCAGGGTTGTTGTGAGGATCAAATGAGTTAATACAGACAATTCTTGCTTTACATAAATTTGCATTATATCAATTTGACTTTACCTAAAGAATTCTGAAAGAAATCCACATTTCAAAAAAAAAATCTATGTTAAGTTTACTGTATGTTACTGTGCTCTGTCTCTCTTCATTCCTACCCCTCAGCTCCATACTTTGCCTCCAATTTCCCTTACCAAAAACAAAACCTCTAAAAAACAAAACAACCCTCCAAGTGAAGGCAGAAGGGAGGGGCAAGAGACTGCCACCTCTGCTACCTGATCAGGGGCTTGTCTTGAACCCTCCAGCTGAGAGAGGGGACCTTTGCACCCACTCTGATCACTCCCCCCACATGTCAAGACTGCATTTGTCTCCTGTCTGCCCCACTGGGGTACCTCCTGTCTGTATTCTTGTCTGGTCCCCACATGTCTGCCACCTCTCCTCCACTTCTCAGTTCTGACTAGATCCCAATGTGGGTGGTCCAAGAATGGTGTGTTCCTTTTCCTGTTCTCACTTCTCTGTCTCCTGCCTCGGTGTCTCCTTGAACTGTGTGCTAGCCCCTTCCCTCCACAGGCATGTTCCCCTTCCTGTTTCCTTCCTTCCCTCCTTTCCCCACATATGGGGGCAAATTCGCATTAGGGCTTTACTTAGGGGTCTGCCTAACGTTCCACTTACATAAATCGAGAACTGTGCGTAATTGTAAAATGCTTAGCACGGTGCCTGGTATACAGTAAGTACTATGTAAATGTTAGCTTTAATGATGATATTGATGAAGAAGAAGAAGAAGAAGAAGAAGAAGAAGAAGAAGAAGAAGAAGAAGAAGAAGAAGAAGAAGAAGAAAGGCTATTTGTTTGATTACACTGAGGTGGAAATCCAGTCAAAGAACATTTTTTTAATATAGTACTTGCATATTTATTCCTGCTTGGTAAATATTCAGAGATCATAGATTATAGACCTGGAAGGGAACTTAGAGGGCATCAACTCCAACATTCTTATTTTACAGATGAAGAAACTGAGGTCCAGAATGGTCAGGTGACTTGCTAGAAGTCACACAGGAAATATGTCAGAGATGGGATTCAAACCCATCCTCCTGATTTCAAGTGTAAATCTATTTATTATACCACATTGTAATATCAGAAGACAATTGACTCTGTCAATACTTTGACTAAGCATTTTGAATAAACACTTTAAATACTCACCATTCAAGGTAATTTAGCCAAAAGGAAAAGTGCATGTTTCTTCCTGACTTTGTTCTCAAATAAAAATAAGTGTTATTTATATTCATTTTCTCACATCTATAGGTCACGTGGCAATGCTTTACATAAAAAAAATGTATACTGTTTTATTGTTTGGTATTTCATGGACTGAAAACAGTGCCAATCTAAAAACATCACAGAAATCAGATCAGATCTGTATATTAGTCCAAAACAAATTGCTGTGTTTTTGGAGGTGTGTAAACTTGCAGACTCCTAAAATGCTATAATTGGTGAATTGCATAATAAATGATAACTTTTATTGGGATCAGGATTAGTTTACTCATTTCATTCCATGAAAAAAACCCCAACAAAATGAAAACCTCTTCTCTTCTCTTTGGCAAGATGAAACCATAATGAAAAAAGTGAACTCTCTCTCTCTCTCTCTCTCTCTCTCTCTCTCTCTCTCTCTCTCTCTCTCTCTCTCTCTCTCTCTCTATATATATATAATATATATATATATATATACATATGTATATATACATATATATATACATATACATATGTATATATATATATACATATATATACATATATATACATATATATGTATATATATATACATATATATGTGTATATATATATATGTATATATATACATATATACATATGTATATATATAATATACATAGTCAATTTTAAAAACATGTAACAACACTATCGTATTTTCAAAGAGTCTAATAAAAAATTAGACAAGCATGAAAAACACTACTTACAATGCAGATTACTCGTGTACATGCCATTCCACTGTTTTTGAGTAAAATATGACCACCATAATGTGCTGATTCCAAAAGCACTTGCATTTGTTCCTGGGTTTGAGTCAAGATCTTGTTTCTTGTGAGTGAACTCAAGAAAAAGTCACCTCACCTCTCTGGACTTCAATTTTCTCATTTGTAAAAGGGGGATTGGATGAGAGGATCTCTAAATTCCCTATCAGTTCTAAATTCTATGAATCCATGAATTGAGAAAAACCTGAAATAAATTTTTTTCATTATATTATTTTAAAGGTTTGATCTTTTGTTTTATTGCCATTAGTTGTGAATGCCTTTTTGGGGGGAGAAAAAACAAAGGTGAGAAAGTCAGAAAATGGGAAGAAAAGCAAAAAGAATAGGGAAGATTTATTTGCATTCCTATTTTATTATTCCTCAATTGTCTGGTGAAATAAAGGCACCTAGATTGGCCAAGACTTATTTTTGCTCCCATTTCCACATTCCAGGACATAGAATAGCAGAAAGACCTGGATTTGGTTCCTCTCTGATAATATTATCTAGAACACTACTGATGATGTGAATGGATATCTCTCCACAAACACATAAGGGCAGACTCATGATAATAATACAGTTCGATAAGTTAGGGACAGGAGGGAGAAAAGAGACATTATTTCTCTCTTCTAGCAGCTAGGTATTAGGTTGTTTTTGGCAGCATTTCTGAATGAATAAAAAAATACGTTCTAAGCACTTCATTGAAAATATTAATGAATTAACAAATTTTAGTTAAAAATTAACATCTTTTTGTTTTCCCTTTACTTCTTACAGATTTATGCATACTTGACTGAACCTTCCTCCAGGGAGAAAAAATGGGAACTACAAGTACTTAGATTTTTATCAATTAACTCAATAATTGATCCTTGGATCTTTGTTATTCTTAGGCCTCCTGTTCTGAGACTGATGCGTTCAGTACTATACTGTCAGATTTCATTGAAAGCACATGATGCTCCACCAACATAATAACCTTTGTGCATAATGTCTATAAATACCACACATCACCTGGAAATCAACTTTGAAATGGTTCCTTGGCGAAATGAGAGAGTGGGGAGAAAAGAAAAGGGGAAGGAAAAAGAAAGAAGAAAGGAAGGAGAGGAAAGAAAGAGAAAGAAAATTTTAAGGAAAGGAGAAAAAAGAGAAGAAAGGAAAGGAAAAGAAATGGATGCTACTTTAATAAACAAAAATAATTTTGAACAATGGACTAGACTACAAATACACTAAATTAGAGGATGCATGAAATTTGTCTAAAAAGATTCAGAAAAGCTTTCTAGAGTGAGTAAACTGTGTGGACTTTAGGGAAAAAATAAGCAGCAACATTTGAGAATCTTGATGCATTCTTGGTAACTATATTCAATTACCTTAATATTTCTTTTCCTTTGAACTAAGAATACATGCTGTCTTATAAATTGTTTAAACTTCTAAATTGCTTTGGTCATTCAATGTTAATTGACTACTTTGTGGTTATAGTGATAAAATAACATAAAGTCAAATAGAGCATTTTATTGCCCTTCTCACCATGAATAGATGACTATATGGAAATTGCTAGTTGTTTAACCATCAAGTCCTCAATCTTACAGTTTTTCAGTCAGACACATATCTCAGCCTTTTCTTTCTCAAGCCCCCAAATCACAAGACTCCTTCCCCTTCTGCTCCCTACAAAGATGCTAGAATTTCCACAGCTTTGCTCCCTGAATTTTGCTTTCATCTCCAGCTTACATGCATAAATCCCTTTTCAAATATACCCCAAAGTGCTGAATTTTTTACTTATCAATATTTCTTTTTCCCAGTCACTGGTGTGTATTTTCTTTGCCTTTTGAGTTGCTCTAAAATTGATTACAAATAAACTCAACGAATGAAAAAGCTATGTCTTAAACTTTGAATCCGTATAATAAATACTTTTAATATTCTTCAATAAATATTTTTAATTGATTAATTACACATTTGTTCATTGCAGCAGAAAGAGCACTAAGTAAGTCAGTAGATTTGGGTTTGAGCCTTTGTTCTGATGTTGACTACCTGTGTGACCCTGAGCATTTATTTGGGTCATCTATCCCTCAATTTTCTAGCATAAAAAGAGAGTTATATTAGAAGTATGTAAGGTCTCTAATAGCTCTAAGAATCAATCTATATTCTTGACATTGTAATAAAATGGAAAGAGTATTGATTCAAGAATCAGAGACCCTATGTTCAAAGTTGTTTCTGAGGCTTACTACTTGTGTGATCTTGGACAAGTTATTTTTCCTTCCTTGACCTCATTTTCATCTACAAATGGGGGAGTTAGGGATTGTGGGGAAATGGTGACATGTTAAGTCCTAGAAAGTCTAAATTCCACTACAAATACCCAGTAAAGCTCTAAAAATACACCAGAATAAAAAATGATAAAGAAAACCAAAATGAATCAACTGAAAATTCTGCTATCCAGCTCAGGACTGCACAAAAAGATTCAATGGAAGTGGGGAGCAGAGAAAAGCAAAGTGAAAAGTTATCTAAGTCTACAGCAAGAGATAAAACTAGGCCATTGCCCAGAAGGAAAGGGGAGACGCTTGGACCTCATTCCCACGTGCAGCAAGGAAAAGATAGGGTCAGACCAAAGTTGAGAATGACAAAATACATCTCAAGGAACTGAGTTCCTATCTGATGCAGGAGGTGGAGCCAGGCTAGCTCAGTGAGGTATGGACCAGGGCCTCACCCCTACACAATAGGAGACTAGGTAAGACCAGCCTCCAGGCAGCCTGTGTTTGAACCACAGCAGGAGTCTAGGCCAAACAATTCAAGGCCTCATCAGACACCAAACTCAGGAGCAAGTAAGGGCCACCCACACCATACAGAAGTATAGGAGTATGCTCAAACATAATAAGCTCCCAATCCAGAAACTGAAGCTAGAAATATGAGTAAAACAAAGTATACAAACAGAAGGAACTCTAGACATGAAGTAGAGATTCTAAGTAGAGCCTCAGAGAAAGGAGTGTCCTGGCCACAAGGATTAGTACCACAAAGAAACAGGAGATATGCATCAAGTTGTATAACATTCAGATTGATAAAGAAGAAGTTAAGTGAGTTACAGGAAGAAATAGGTACCAAAACCATACTAGTGGGAGACCTCAACAGTCTCTACTCAGAACTTGATAAATCTAACCAAAAAATAAATGAGAAATTAAGGAAGGTGAATAGAATATTTTGAAAAGTTAGATATGACAAAACTTTGGAAAAAATTGAATGAGAATAGAAAACAATATACATTTTTCTCTTCTGCATGGCAGCTAGTCAAAAACTGACCATGTCTTAGGGCATAAAATCCTCAAAATCAAACATAGGAAGGAAGAAATATAAAACGCATCATCTTCAGATCATAATGCAATAAAAATTATATTCAACAAAAGGCAGTAGAAAATATACTAAAAATCTGAAAACTAAATAATCTAATCCTAAAGAATAAATGGGTCAAAGAATGAATCATAGAAACAATTAATGATTTCATTAAAGAGAATGAGAATAATGAGACAATATACCAAAATTACCTGGGGGAAATTTTATTTCTCTAAATTCATACATCAATAAAATAGAGAAAAAGCAGATAATGAATTGGGCATACATCTTAAAAAATTAGAAAAAGAACAAATTAAAAACTTCCAATTGAGCATGAAATTAAAAACTTTGAAAATCAAAGGTGAGATTAATAAAATTAAAATAAAATTATTGAGCTAATAAAACTGGGAGATGGTTTTGTGAAAAAACCCAGTGAGACAGATAAACCATTGGCCATTGGTTAATTTGATATAAAAAAGAAAGAAGAAAACCAAATATCCAGTATCAAAAATGAAAAGGGTGAATTCATCACCAATGAAGAGAAAATTAAAGCAATCACTAGGAAATATTTTGTTCATTTATATGCCAGTAAATCTGGCAATTTGAGCAAAGTTGATGGATATTAATAAAAAATATAAATTTCCCTGATTAACAGAAGAGGAAATAGAATACCTAAATAACCCCATCTTAGAAAAAGAAATTGAACAAACCATCGATGAACTCACTAAGGAAAAATCCCCAAGGCCAGATTGGTTCACAAATAAATTCTATAAAACATTTGAAGAATAATTAATTCTAATACTATGTAAACTTTTTTGGAAAAATAAGTGAACAAGGAGTCCTATCAAGTTCCTTTTATGACATAAATATGGTGCTGATACCTAAACCAGGAAGAACTAAAACAGAGAAAGAAAATTATAGACCAATTTCCTAACTAATATTGATGCAAAAATTTTAAATTGCAGCAATATATCACAGGGATCATACACTATGACCAGTTGCAATTTATAGTAGGAATGAAGGATTAGTTTAATATCAGGAGAACTATTAGCATAATTGACCATATCAGTAATAAAACCAACAGAAATCATATGAATATCTCAACAGACGCTGAAAAAGTTTTTGACAAAATACAGCAACCATTCATATTAAAAATACTAAACAGGATAGGAATAAATAGAGCTTACCTTAAAATGATGAGTAGTATCTATCTAAAACTATCAGTAAGCATTATATGTAATGGGAATAAGCTAGAAACATTACCAATTTTAAAATAACTGTAGACACTATAAAATATTTGAGAATCTACCTGCCAAGACAAACTCAGAAACTATTATTAACACAATTATAAAATACTTTTCACGTAAATAAAATCAGATCTAAACGATTGGAAAAATATCAATTGCTCATGGGTAGACTGAGCCAATATAATAAAAATGACAATTCTGTCTAAACTAATTTACTTATTCAGTGCCATACCAATTAAAGTACCAAAAATTATTTTATAGAGCTAGAAAAAATAAAAAAAATTAATCTCAAAGAACAAAAGATCAAGCATGTCAAAGGAACTAATGAAAAAAAATACAAACTAAGGTGGCCAAGCAGTACCAGATCTCAAACTATATTATAAAGCAGTAATTACCAAGACTATCTGGAATTGGCTAACAAATAGAATGGTGTATCAGCAGAATAAATTAGGTACACAAGAAGACTCAGCCTCTGGGATAAGAACTCACTATTCAACAAAAATTGCTGGCAAAACTGGAAAATAATATGGCAGAAACTAGGTATAGACCAACATCTTACACTGTATACCAAGGTAAGGTAGAAATGAGTACATGATTTAAACAAAAGATGATACCATAAGCAAATTAGGAGAGCAAGGAATAGCTTACCTGTCAGATCTATAGAGAAGGGAAGAATTTATAAATAAACATGAGATGGTAATACAAAACATAAAATAGATAATTCTTATTATATTTAATTAAAGAAGTTTTTGCACCAAAAAAACCCAACAACCATGCAACCAAGATTAGAAGGAAATAAGAAAGCTGGGAAACAATCCTTATAGCAAGTATCTCTGACAAAGGCCTCATTTCTCAAATTTGTAGAGAACTCAGTCATGTGTATAAGAATACAAGCCATTCCCCAATTGATAAATGGTGAAAGGATATGAACAGGCTGTTCTCAGATGAAGAAATCAAAGCTATCATAGTTATATAAAGAAATGCTCTAAATCACTATTGATTAGGGAAATGCAAATTAAAGCAACTGAGGTATAACCTCCTACCTATCAGATTGGCTAATATGACAGAAAAGGAAAATGATACATGTTGAAGAAGATGTGGTAAAATTAGGATGCTAATGCACAGTTGGTAGAATTATGAACTGATTGAACCATTCTGGAGAACAATTTGGAACTATGCCCAAAGGGCAACCAAACTGTGCATACACTTTGATCCAACAATACCACTACTAGGTCTGTATACCAAAGAGATCATTATGACGAGAAAAAGACCTATATGCACAGAAGTGTTCATGGAGAATCTTTTTGTGGTGGCCAAAAATTGAAAATTGAGAGGATGCCCATCAATTTAGGAATGGCTGAACAACCTGTGGTGCATGGATGTAATAGAATACTACTGTGCACTAAGAAATGATGAGCAGGATGCTCTCAGAAAAACCTGGAAAGACTTATATGAGCTGATGCAAAGTGAAATGAACAGGACCAGGAGAATATTGTGCACAGTAATTGTACACATTGTATGATGATCAACTATGAATGACTCAGCTCTCCTCACCAATGCAATAATC